CAATTTTCATCCCTAGCTGCTTACCTGGTGGAATATAAATTCCATCATATTTTGAAAGTGATGGATACTGGAAAGAGAAGGAGTAAGATGGAATGGGAGGGGAAGTGGAATGGAATTTTAAGTAAGGTAGTCAAGTGAGGTCTCATCAAGAAGGTAATATCTGAGAGGCTTCATCAAGAAGACATGACAAAAGTGAGTTCTAGGAAAAAAAAACATGCATCCTGAGACTAGATAAATAAGGAGCCATTACCCTGATCCTGTCTGTTATGTATTTCTGGAGTCTCTTCCCTCAAGTTAGACTTTATGGTCTGAAGAGCTAAATGAAAACAAAGGCTAAGTAGAGCCCAGCTCTGGGAGATGTCTCCCAGACCTCCTGCCACCACCAACACCTGGCCCCATCTTTGTTCCACTTCAGAGTGAAGTTTTTGCCACCTGGTTCACTGGTTCATTTATTGCTGCCTCTTTCTCAACCATAAGTACCCAGGCTCCCCTGAAGTTTCCAGAGATAAATCCCTATAGTCTTCTTTTTCACTCAAATTGCATGTTGCTTAGATGCTAAAAACTAAAAAAGAGTAGGAGGGTTGAAAGGTTTATTTCAGAAAATTGGCAGCCAGTGGCTGCCACATTTGTTGGAATTCCAGAGCATGAAAAAACATTTGGCAAGAGACAAAAAATACCCTTAAACATAACTTGGTTCTAATTTTGAGATTCCTAGGCATCAAAATACACAGGACTGTAGAAAAATACTCAGTAATCCCTTTTTTCCTAGTTTCAAAGATAATGCTCACTGTCCAACCTTTCAAGGGCTGTTGGTTCTTCTGCAGAACAACTTTGAAGCATGAGGCAGCCTCAGTTAAGAGTGTCCAGTTTTGGCAGGGCATGGTGGCAGATGCCTATACTCCCAGTGGCTTGGGAGGCTGAAATAGAAGGATCACAAGTTCAAAGGCAGCCTAAGCAATTTAGCCAGGCCCTAAACAATTAAGCAAGACACTGTCTCAAAAAAAAAAAATAAATAAAATTAAAAAGGGGATGTGGCTCAGTGGTAAAGCACCCCTGAGTTCACTCCTTTGTACCAAAAAAAAAAAAAAAAAGTGCTTTGGGCTCCAGGGAAATATCAGAAAGATACTGAGGCTGGTCCCTTAAATGAGTTCTTCCCCTCTGTGAATGAACATAATGAACCTATAGCACTTGCATGGGTAAAGGTTATACCAAATAATATACTGGGGGGTGTAAGGTATAATTCAGTGATGGAGTGTTGATCCCCAGCACCCCCCCGCCACAAACACACAAAATAAATAAACAAACAAATGAAAGTAGTATACTATACATTTCTGGCAAAGGCAACGTGTACTTCAAAAGTATCAATAACCTAAGCCCTAGAAACTCTGCAGTGACAAACTGTGCAATGACAATGTCTAGAAAACAATACATTGTTGAAAAGCCCCAGGGAGGTACATATGCTTGAGGCCTAATTATTCTCCAGTTTCAACCAAAGTACAATCAGGGCTTTCTTTTCTTCTTTTTCCTCTTCTTCCTCTTCCTCTTCCTCCCCCCTCTTCTTCTTCTTCTTTTTTGTTTTTTGTTTCTAAGGTGCTGTTGTGGCCCAGTGAAGGCCCCTAGGAATTACTCCACCAAGAATAGCAGGAGACAACTTAGTCTCCTCATTCTTCACACAAGAACCTTCGCAGGAGATCTCATCACCAGAACAGAAACATTCAAAAGGGCTTTGGGTTTTCCTATTTGTGGGAACCAGAACTTGTGGCCAATCTATAAAAAAATCTTCTACATTTGTGACCCAGTCCCTGGACTTAAGCAGCTGGCAGAGAAACTGGGGGAAGCAGGAGGGAGGAGAAGAAATAAAGCCCTTACTAGCTGTTGGCATAATTCATAGTAAATTCTGAGTTAAGAGAAAAAAGGTCACTCCATTAATGAGCTCCAAGAAGCCTCCCTGGGGGAGGGATGGTGCTGTCAGCTGCCTGTTCCTGCTTAGAGCTCTGCCCAGGATGTATGTTCAGGATGAGCACACAACCCAGGTTTCCTGAGACAGTACTATTGATGTCTCCTATTCAGGCACAATTACAAACAATCAATATCCAATTTCACTCTCCAAAGTGTCGTGATTTAAATCATAGGGTCCCTCAATGAAAGGGTGACTGAGTTTCTGGCAGGGATTTTGCTGCTTTACCTGTAAATTAGGTCACGAACCTCTCCCAATCCACTACTGACCTGGGGTTACACAATGTGCAAATTCCTGCATGTCCCCATGTAGACAGAGTATGGAAGAAGACGCAAATATCATGGTGAAGGCACAGACTGGAGCCAGACTCTCAGGGTTTACAGCTCTAACCCCTCATACTTAAAAGCAGTGAAACTTGGGACTAGTTATTTAACATCTCCCATTTGAAACAAGGATGAGGATGAAAGTAAGTGCCAGAAAGGATTAATGAGTTAACATTTGTCAAGTGCTTAGAACAGTGCCTGGCACCAGGTAATCATTCTATGAATATTTACCAAATAAAAATAAGTATGCAGTTTTGTCTAAGAGGGAAATAATTTTATACAAAGAAATGGTGATGCAAGGCTGGAAGGCTCTTTTCAAAACTTTTTAGATCCCCTCCCTATTCAGATACCCCTCACTGACATAAAAACCCCATGCTTTATCTGGGGTTGTTGCTCAATGGCAGAGTGCTTCCCTAGTATCTGTGAGGCACTGGGTTCGATTCTCAGCACCATATATCAATAAATAAAATAAAGGTACATTGACACTAAAAAAAATACTAAAACAAAACAAAACAAAAAAACATGCTTGATCCTGGATGAAGACAGCTGGCGACAGGGTTACAGGGTTCCAGAGGGTGGAAATAGAACACTCACTGCCACAAGGCCTCCCTTATTACCTTATGATCAACTACACACTAAATTTCTACATTGAAATTGGCTCAAATAGAACAAAGAAACAAAGACAAATGTCCCAGGTTGTAGCTAGCAGTCAGAAAGAAGCCTGAAGCCAACAAATACCTCTCTCAATTATTTTAAAACACTCAACATGAAGAGTACCCTTTGCTCCCCACACACTCCATAATCGCACATTTATGTATGTGATTCAGGACTTCAAAAGCATCAAAAGTATGCCAATAAAACACATTTAGAGCAATCAATTTAAGATGAAAAATCACAGATATAAGTCTCACATATAAAATTCCATGTGATAAACTATAAAGAAATCTCCTTAATTCCTCCACCATACATTAGGTACCCAGGATAATCATTGCATGCAAATAGGGTACCTCACACCATCCCACAAACAAAAAAAATTACCAGTTGTATATCTGTATGTTCAGATATACAACTCTATGAAAGCATCCTCTTAGTCATTTAGGTTTTAGTTTTATGTCATGGTTCTGCTTTTAATGATGTTTCAACCTTTCAGAAAGATTAGAACTCCTGATTAAGATGATAAATTCCTACCCAACAAAACAGCTGTTTTGGAAAGAACCAAGACTCCAAGGCTCTTTAGGATACACACAGACACAAAACCACAGAGAAAAAAAAAAAAGGCCTGGGAGACAAGGGTGGCACAAATGCAGAGGAAAGGGAAGGCTAGTTAATTATATTAAGCAGCAATTAAAAACAAAAAGGATTGCAAATGTAGACACCCATGCATTAAGGTACACACGTTTGTTTTTATGTAAATAGCGGTCTCTGATTCATTTCTCTGTTGCTCTCTATGTTGAGTCACCAAGGGGATGTGATTCCTAAGGTTTTAAAAGTCTGAACAAATGGAAAGATTTGGAGCAGGGAGGCATTCCACAAAAAACATTAAATACTAAACGAGAGAGATATTTCAAACAAAAACAGGAAGTCTGCTATGGTAGAGCCTGGAGCAAGGAAAAACTTTTCCATCAACCTTCTTTTCCAGAGAACTAAGACTTGCCCTCTAACATTTTCTAACAATTTCTTTTTAATACACGGAAAAAACAAAGTCGTCATTTCCAGTATCACTCAACTATTAAGGGAGAATTTTTACAACTGTCTAAACTAGGACATTAAAAAAAAAGTATGTTAATCATTTCTCATTTACATTGACTTCATTAATGTTACACAAATTTCTTTCCAAATAAACAGGCTCAGTAGGGAGTTAAGTCCTAATTCAGATCCTCCACACTGGAATTCCACCAGGGCCCATTTTAAAGAACCCGCTTTAGCTAGAAGGGGGTGGCCCCTGTCACAGGATGCAACTTTTCAGGCAGGAGGAGCCGCAGTCCCCACGAGGGTTGTGGTCACTGGGCGCCGCTTCCACCCTCCAGCAGTTCAACAAGTTCCCTAGGCTTCCGATCAGCACCCACCACCCGAGCTCTCGGTGGAATTTTCTTTTCACACCTGAAGACTTTGCGCTTCACTTTCAAAAGCACCGATGTTTCTTCCTGCTGCTCATCTCGGCTATTTTCTCTGGCATTCGCGTGACATTTCTCACCACTTCCCTTCCGCCTACTAGCAACTCGCCCCCTCTCCCGCCCCAGTCGTCCCACCGCAACCCCGAACCGCTTGGCGTCCCGGACTCTCCGCGCCTGCGCTGCTCTGCTCGCGGGGACCCCCGCCCCCCCCCCCAACTCCCACCGATCTCCAGCCCTCCGCAGCAGGGAGGGTGGGCAGACAGGGCACAAAGGTCACTCCCGAGTGCTGCAAACCGGAGCAAGAAGCGAAAGAAATAAGCTTTCCCAAGAGGGGGCTGGGGATAGGGGACACGGATAGAAGGGGAAGGACAGGGAGAAGCAGCATAAGGGCCAGGAGAGCTTCCCTGTCACCGGGGTTCCTACACCTTCCCGCACCCGGACATATGCAGGTCCGTGGGGCTGTAGTTCTCAGCCGCTCGACAATTCGACTCCCCCAGGAAGTCTCCCGGGGTAGAGAAGCCTCATAACTGCGTCCCCCCTTCTGTCCTAGCATTGTCCGCGCCACACCAGCGCTTCGGGAGGCGCCGGGAGCGGCTCGGTCCCTACCTCCACCAGCAGCCCCAACAGCAGCGCCGCCACCCTAACGGGCAAGCGGCTCATGGCTCCTCCTTGTCCTCTCCGGGTGCGCCCGGCTGCCGGCTCACAGGCGGGTCAGGGGCAAGTCCCCAGAGCGGTGGGCAGATGGGCTGACTCCAGCCGGGAGCCGGCGCGCGCGGACTGGGCCAGCAGCAAGCTAGCCGGGAGGTGGGACGCGCCGCGCAGATCTCGCAGCGCTCCGCCCCCAGCCGGCGCGCGCTCCCGACCTGCCCGCACAGCGCGCGCGTCCGCTGGTACCCGGAATCGAAGGCCAGAGTGGGGCGCGGCTGTCGGGCGCGGGGACCCGAGATGCTGAAGTGCATAAGCCAGGGATGGGTTGAGGAACCCCACGGACCTACCAGTGTGAGAGGAGCTGCCACATGTCTTCTCTTTCGGGGGATACGGTATAGTGTCACCACCTGATAGACCGAAAAGGTTTTTAAAAGTGGCAGAGTCTCCGCGGATGGAGGAGGGGCTGAGGTGGCTGTAGAGGAACCCATTCTTGCCTCCTGGTTTTCTGTTTTCTTTTCTCATTCCTTTTCTTTCTGCACGCCCCCTCTCCGCCCCCTGGTTTCTATCTTCTTCTCTCCTTTCCTTTTCTGCCTACAGCAGGGTGGGGGGTCGAGCACCCCGCCCAAGTGTGATGGGGAGGACAAAGGGCGAGGAAGGTTGACTGTGGAATAAAGGCTCCCTTGCACCTCACCTCTCACTTAGATGTTGATATTTTTCTTCCAGCATATCTTCCTGCCCTGACACCATTGACCCCACCTTGAAGTACCCCTCAAAGCCGTTCGATTTTTTCACAGCACAATTCAGTTGCCATTTATTTGTAAAAATATTCAAGGAACATTTGTTGAGATTTGTAAGATGTATTAAATCCTGAGCTTACGGTAGATTGTGTAGAGGTGGACAAGAAAAACGCTCCTGTAGTCTAGAGGGAGAAACACTTAACTATCAGGGTGCTGAGTGTAGAGTACAGGATAATAGAAGAGCATAAAGGTCAGGGACTACCCATAACTAGAGATGGAAGGAGGAGGATTCATGGAAATAAATGTCACTTGAGGCAAATACCCTTTACCTCACTTTTCCAGTCTTGAGTGCGCCACCAGACTGTACCTATTAGAACTTAAAAGTGAGGCAGAAAAGAACCATACCACAAAGCTGCCAAGGGTCAGTCAGTGTATTGTAGTGACTTGGCCTTAATTACAATTCTTTTTAGGGCAGAAGTAGGACTGAGGATGTATCCCAGTGGTAGAGCACAGTCTCGGCATGCACAAACCTCTGGGTTGGTTCCCAAGCACCACAGTTAAAAAAAAAAAAAATTAAGGTCAGAAATTAATTTGCAGAAAATAGCCAAAAGTGTGTTGTATGAAAGAGACCAAAGTATTACCCTTTACCCCATGGCAATGTAAATGATCAGTGTCCTGTAAAAATTCAGTGTGCCTTGCTGGGGTTAGAACTTTAATTTTCTAATGTTTCATTCTCTTTCCAAGAATTTCCTTCCCCCAACTTTTCAACTGGCTATATACTCAGGAGAGGGGTGATCACCTGTTTTCTTCTTTGAAGAAGTTTGCCATCCTACTGGTTTAACAGTGGTCCACTTTATGCTTGGACTGTAGCCCTTGCTGCTTTGCCATTGAAACTTATTTTTTTAAAAGGACATGTTTCTTTCTCCTCTCCTTGCTTGTCCCTAATCTCCCCTCCCCAATCTCAAGGGAAATAGGATTACCTTTGTTCCTCATTTTAGGTGGATTTATCTGTCCTTGAATACATACCCACCATAAGAATAAAATAATACAGACTTTGGGTATGGTACCAGAAGATCTCAGAAATGACTATTACAACTCTAACACAAAACATGTGGAATGTAGCCTTTGAATCACTTCTTTAAAAGCCCCTGTTCCTACTGATGGGCAGAATCAGTCTCTAGGACAGAAGTCCCCTGTGTTTCTCCTTTGCCAGCAAAGCAATAAATCTTCTTTTTCTTTTTTTCCCAAAGCTGGCCATGTCTTCATTATTGGATTAGCATTGAGGACGGACAAGGCCCGACCTTTCAGCAACACTGGTTCCTTCTTTAATGGGTTAAGATGGAACTTTGACCTGTGTTCACCATGTGTTTATATGCATGTTATGTTTCTATTACATTTTGAACAATATACTAATACCTGATCCAATCCACTTCCTATATCTGTGTTAGTCAGTTTTTCCTCACTGTGACCAAAATACCTCACAAGAACAACTTTGAGGAGCAAAGATTTATTTTGGCTTATGGATCTCAGAGGTCTCAGTCTGTGATTGGCAGCTTCACTGCATTAGCCTGAGGTGAGCAGAATGTCATGGTGGCAGGGCATGGAGGATGAAAGCTGCTCAGCCCAAGGCATCCTGGAAGTAAAGAGGGAGTGGGAGAAAGAAGCCTGAAAGAAGATAAACCTTTCCCAGGGCATGACCCCAATGACCTACTTCCTCCGACTAGGTGCCACCTCCCAGTAATCCATTGAGCATCAGTGGATTAGTCCCAGAATGAGGTCAGAGGCCTCATAATCCAATCACTTCCCTGAAGCCCCACCTCTGAACACATGAGACTTTGGATGGTGGGGGTGGTGGGGGCAGTATTCCAGATGCAAACCAAGAATACTCTTTGTCTCCACCTTGAGAAGATTGTTTTGATGAGTTCAACTTAATATAATTTGAATAAAAATATCCAGAGTGTGAATTTAGAATGCTAACTATGCTTTCCCCCATTCTGATATCCTTCATGTGTCTTTTCTGTCTAGTTTTGAAGGACATGGTGATTGCTTGGTATTGGTGGAGTAAGAGAGTGAGAGGCAAGCCAGGCTGTTTCCTGTTGCACAAATTGTAAGGGCATCAAGTATCACTGAAAAAGTAACAAGACAAGAGAACTGTATTTACCAGAACAACTTTCAGAGAAAGAAATTCTCTGATCAGTTGTTTGGGGTAGGACTGCTCACACCTCAGGTAAGAGCTAGCAAGACAGGACCCAGAAGCTGAGACATTTGTGTTACCAAAGGAAGGGAATAACAGACTGAACTTGAGCTGCAGCTGCCCTGCAAAACTTTCTGGGGTCTACATGAATGGTGATGAACAGGTGATGAATTTTAAATAACAAAGATTTATCTACATCTACTTTGATCAGAACACTAGTCTAGATGTTGATACACTTGAACAAGATAGATAATGCAGTGGGGGAAAAACTGGCAGAGTCACTGCCCTCATGTAGACATCAATCTAAGGAGGGATGACAAATAATAGAATAAGTAAATAAAAGTGTATGTCAGATGGAATTAAGTGCCAGGAAGAAAAATAAATTAAATAAAGCATTTGGGAAGTAGGACTGAGTGTTACTAAACATAGGGGTGTCAAGCCAGATCCCTGTGGCAAGTTGCCAGGAGCAGAGACATTCAGGTAGGAAAGGAAACCTAACAAGATTATCAATCAAAGACTCTGGGATAGGATCAGAGGGGCTGGAGACCTACACTCTCATAAAGATAGTGAGACCTGAATTCAAAGATGAAGTAAGGCAGGGCTTGGTGGCACACACTTTAATCCCAGCAGCTCAAGAGGCTGAGGCAGGAGGATCGTGAGTTCAAAGCCAGCCTCAGCAAAAGCAAGGCGCTAAGCAACTCAGTGAGACCCTGTCTCTAAATAAAATACAAAATAGGGCTGGGGATGTGGCTCAGTGATCCAGTGCCCCTGAGTTCAATCCCTGGTACTCACCCAACGCCCACAAAAAAACATGAAGTGGGGGCCTATATTTTTAGTCCATTATAAAGACTTAGGATTTAGTTCTGAGAAAAATGGAATATAATTTTAGTGTTTTAAACTGAAAAGGAATATGAGCTAGCTTAAGCTTTAAAAAGATCATTCTGTGTACTATGTAGAAGGATTGGAAAAGGTTGAGTGAAAGGCAGAGACTGCAAGAGCTGTAAGGAGATTGATATGATTAATGTGAGGTCATCCTCAAATTCCCTGGTCTCTGCCCTCAGCATTCTGTATCATAGTGGTTTAAGTGACTATCTCTTCATCTAGGCTCCAGACAAGAGATGAAGGGACTTATAATAGAGATTGGGAGAAGAGATTAGATTCTATCCATACTGTATCTGAAGGCTGACACATGGCATTTTTGATTTTTAAAAAAACTACAAAATGTTCAGTGAGATGTCCAGTACAACATACCTGCAGGATATTGTTATCAAGAATCAGATTTCAGGGGCTGGGGTGGTAGCTCAATGGTAGAACACCCACCTAGCACATGCAAGGCCCTGGGTTTGAGCCTCAGTACCACATAAAAATAAATAAATTAAATAAAGGCATTGTGTCCAACTACAACTAAAAAATAAATATTAAAAAAAAGAATCGTATTTCAGGAGCCCCATTCTAGGTGAACTGCAAGAAAAGGGTGATCCATTTAGTTCACTACAGTTATAAACTCAGAATATACCTTAATAATAAAAATGAGTAATGCTGCCTGAACAGGATTGGTAAGGGTCATCTGAAATGCCTTCCAAAGTCATGTAGTGGGGGATGAGGACAGGCAGAGAAGCATTCAGGCATTATTTCTAATTTGAACACATGTAGAAGTTGTCTTCTCAGAGGTCTCCTTATCTGACTAAAAGCGGCAACTTCTGGCAAATGAGTATGCTATACATTTTCTTTTCAGTCAGGTCTACTCCCAAGAAGAAACCCAAAATAAATTTATCATAACTCCCCTCTCAGGTGTAGTTTCTTGGCTTTAAATAAGATGGAAAGAACACATGGTTTTGGAAAGAACACATGGTTTTGGCATAAATGTGTATTAACGAAAAGTTTTCAAATCTTCTCTTTATTCTCCCCAAATCCCATTTATTTTTCCTTTTCTTTTTTTTTTAATTTAATTTTTTTAAATTTTTATTTATTTTTTTTAGTCATACATGACAGTAGAATGTAATTTGACATATAATACATACATGGAATGTACATACATCAATCATATTGTCTTTTCTTTTCCTTAAGAGGAGGAAAAGTTTATCTTGGTTCAGGATTGGAGGTCTCCATCCATAGGTTGTTGACTCCATAGCTCTAGGCACAAGGTGAGGCAGAGTACCACAGGGAAGGGTTTGGTGAGAAACTGCTCCCCTTGTGGCAGGCAGGATATTTGTCTCTCTTAAAGCAACCTATTTGTGCTGTGTTTTGTT